GTCAAGGCGGCGGGTAGAGGCGAAGTCAGCGACAGCAGCGACAAGAGCGTCAAGGCACGAGGCCGGAACAGACGGGTCGGTAACGAGAGAGGCAAGGACCCGAGGAACAAGGGGACGAGCGGCACGAAGGTAGTCAGACAGCGGGGGGGGTGCAACAACAAGGGAGGACGGAGGAGGCGACGGGAGAAGGGGAGGACGAGACGCGTGGGAACGAAGCAACATAGGGTGGGAGCGCAAAACAGGCGAGGCAGGACGAGCACGGGAGGGACGGTGAGACCAGACGTGCGACGGAGGAGTCGGGTCAGGAGACAGAGGAGGGGACACAGGAGGGGAACGAGGGGGGAAACGGGCAGGGGACGAGTCCGGCGGAGGGAAGACAGGGCCGTAGACAGGAAGAGGAGGAGACGGTCGGGGAGGAACCGACGCAGGGTCGGGGGACGGAAGGCCGAGCAGGCGAAGGGCTGACACCGGCGGGGACTGCTGCTGCGGCGGCACAACGGCGACACCTGGACCGCAAGCTGCGCCTCGGCTACCACCGGCACTCTCCACACCAGCACCCCCAGAGGGACCACCCCCAGGGCTACCGGGACGAGCACCCCCAGAGTCAGCGAACGGGTGCTGCGACGGCGGCGGCGACGGCGGTGGAGGGGGGGACTGGGGAGAGGACGCCAGGGGAGGGGCGGCCGGCGAGGACTGAACCGGAGGGCCACCAGAGTCAGAAGACTCCTCAACCGGGTCCACCGACGGAAGCGGGGTGACGTGGGACACACCAGAGGGGGCGGGACGGGGAGGAGGAGGAGGAGGGGCAGGGACTACCGGGGAAGGAGTGACCAGGAACAGGGGGGGGGTAACCGGGGCACCACGGTGGGGGAAGTGACGGTAGAAGGAGACAGACTCGTCAAAGGTGACGTCACGAGAGTGAAAGAAGCGGTGAGACGGCGGGTGGTAAAAGTGCCAGTCGGACGCGTCAAGGGGAAAACCGAGGAAGACGCAGGGAAGGGTGCGGGCAGTGAGCTTGTCCGTGCCGGAGGCACGGACGTGAGCAAGGCAGCCCCAGACGTGGAACGCAGACGCGCCACCAGGAGACCCAGTCCAAAGACAGGTCGGCAAAACCTGCGGCTGCTGAGGGTGCGGCCACAAGTTAAGCTGGTGAGAAGCGTAGCGCACAGCGAACGGCCACAGAAAATGGGGTGCACCGGCATGGATCATGGAGGTGCGAGCCACCTCCATGACCAAACCGATGCGTCGCTCAGCGACCCCATTCTGCTGTGGGGAGTCCGGTAGGGTGAACGTCTGGGTGATGCCCTCCGCACGACAAAAGCGACCAAGGACACCTGAGGCAAACTCGCCACCACGGTCGGAGTGAAGACGCAAGACAGGGAGACCGCGGTGGACACGCGCAGAGACAAGCCAGGGGATGAGAGCGCCAGGCACGTCGGCCTTGCGCTCCAGGGGAAAGACTGTGGTGTAACGAGTGAAGTCGTCGACAAGCACAAGGAAGCAGCGCTCTCGACGCGGCCCAGGGACGGGGGCGGGGCCCCAGACGTCCAGGTGCAGGGTCTGCAGCGGCGCGGCGGTAGGGGGAAACGAGGAGGAGTGAGGGGCACGGCGAAGCCGACCCTCGACACAAGGCGTGCAAGGTGGGGCTGGGGAGGAGGGAAACGCGGGGAGCGAACCTGGGAGACCAAGGACGAGACGGTGCTGGGACATGTGACGCAGACGCGGGAGTGCAGGGTGACCTAGGCGGTGGTGCCAAAGGAGGGTCGGGTGAGTGAGGGACCGACAGGAGCAAGCAGCAGCAACCTGGGTGAGCGCTCCAGCCGGGGGGGTCACGGTGTCCAGAGTGAACAGGCCGGACACCGGGTCCCGGGGGAACGTGGACAGGGGGGCACCAGTGGCGGCCTCGGTACAGACAGCATACCGCTCGTGACCAGGGAACGAAGTGGTGACGCCAAGGTCCTGGAGGCAGCCGACACCAACTAGGTTCCTGGAGAACGAGGGGATATGCAGACCTGTGAGAGTGCCTGAAGGAACCGCCGGACAGGGAAGGGTGGTGGAACTGCGGGCGACTACCGGACCGTCGGAGGGGTCAGCAAGAGAAACGGCAGCTGGGACAGGAAGCGGCGTCAGGGTGGTGGAGTCGCGGAAGAAACACCGAGAAGCGCCAGAGTCCAAGGTGAAGGAAAGCGAAGCAGAGGCGTCTGGCGACGGAACGACGGCGGAAGCACCAAGACTACACAAAGCAGGGGATCCTACGCCTGACGCAGCAGGGGAGGCTAAGCTAGGCACACCTACACTAGGCAACAGTGAGTAATAAGTCGGAAGCACACTAGAGTCATCAGCATACATCACATGCAGAGCAGAAACAATGGCATCCATGTCCATATCAAAAATCTGAATCTTACGACTAAGCAAACTGTGCCAGTCCGGGAGGTCTGGCGACGGGCCGAAGCGCTGACGAAAGAGGTCGTCCAGGCGACCAAAACAGCGGGGAGTGGAGTGACCGATCTTACCGCAAACGAAGCCGCGGCGAGGACCGGTCTGGATCTGGTACTGACAGCGCCCGCCGCCAGAGCTACCACTCGACACACCACCACGCGCCCGGCCACCGCTAGCGCCGGGCCACCCGGGCGGGAGGACATTCGTCTGCCGCGTCTGCGACGGCTGCGGCGGCTGCTGCGACGGCTGCGACTGCGGCGACTGCTGCGGTTGCTGCAACTGCAGGGGCGGCGGCTCAGCTGGACTGGGCAGGGTCCCCTCGTCCGCTCCAGCACCAGACGACCCGACCCCACCACTACCCCCTCCCGCACCACCGTCGCCGCCTCCGCCGCGCCCAACCTTGGGGCGGCGGCCCTTCCCGGAACGAAACTGCGCTGCAGCAGCAGTCTCAGCCACTGCGACAGAGCCGTCAGAGAAGGTACACTGGGCGGGGGCACAACCCTGAAAGATAGGGACAGGCACGACACCGCTCGCCTGGGCGATGGAGCGGTGACGGGTCTCTATCACAGTCAGGGTGTCTACAAAGTCAGTGAGGGTGAGGTCTGCGGGGTGAATGCTAAGGAAGCGGTCGCGGGCGACAGCAAGGCGGCCAGGGAGGCGGGTGGCAAGCAGGTAGAGGGTAGAGGTAATGGGCGGCTGGTGGGCTCTAAGCTGTGCATCAGTGCAGGCTGCGCGCTAGGTCTCATCTATCGAGCGCAGGTGGGCAGCGAGGTCAGAGACAGTAGGGAAAGATGCAAGGTCAGGAAAGAGCATCGGGAGGATCAGGCGACCCACCGAGGCAGCCGGAGGGGTGGAATAGCGCTGGATGACAGCATCTAAGTATGCCTGAGCAGTAGTGACAGACCTAAAGCGAGGGCGCTCGGACGGGGGAAGGGCGTTGCTAATGGCAAGCTGGGCGACAGCATTGCGAGAAAGCCAGACAGTGTGCGCACGGGCAGTGGCAGCAGTGGACTCGCGCTCAGTGGGTGTGGAGTCAGCGGGCAGAATAGCAGGGGGGTCTGGGCCGGGGAACCGTACCAGTGAGGAGGACCGGGGCCGGGGCAGGGACGAGAGCAGGGGCCAGGCCGGTGCAACGGGGCCGGGCGGGTGCGACGGGGCCGGGCGGGCGCGACGGGGCCAGGCTGGTGCGACGGGGCCGGGCTGGTGCGACGGGGCCGGGCGGGTGCGACGGGGCCGGGCGGGCGCGACGGGGCCGGGCTGGTGCGACGGGGCCGGGCGGGTGCGTCGGGGCCGGGCTGGTGCGACGGGGCCGGGCCGGTGCGACGGGGCCTGGCGAGCAGGACGGTGGCCCAGGAGGGGCGCACCGGGGCTGGGCGTGCGCGACAGGGCCGGACGGGTGCGACGGGGCTGGGCGGCTGCGACGGGGCCGGGCAGGGGGCGACGGGGCCGGGCGGGTGCGACGGGGCCGGGCGGGTGCGACGGGGCCGGGCGGGCGTGACGGGGCCGGGCTGGTGCGACGGGGCCGGGCGGGGGCGACGGGGCCTGAGGGCGTGATGGGGCCCAGGAGGGGCTCGACGCGGCCCAGGAGGGGCGCTACGGGGCCCAGGAGGTGCACGACGAGGCCCAGGAGGGGCGCTACGGGGCCTAGGAGGGGTGCGACGGGGCCGAGGAGGGGCGCTACGGAGCCTAGGAGGGGCGCGACGGGGCCTGGGAGGGGCGCGACGGGGCCCAGGAGGGGCGCTACAGGGCCCAGGAAGGGCGCGACGGGGCCCAGGAGGGGCGCTACGGGGCCCAGGAGGGGCGCGACGGGGCCCAGGAGGGGCGCTACGGAGCCCAGGAGGGGCGCGACGGGGCCCAGGAGGGGCGCTACGGAGCCCAGGAGGGGCGCGACGGGGCCTGGGAGGGGCGCGACGGGGCCCAGGAGGGGCGCTACAGGGCCCAGGAAGGGCGCGACGAGGCCCAGAAGGGGCGCTACGGGGCCCAGGAGGGGCGCGACGGGGCCCAGGAGGGGCGCTACGGAGCCCAGGAGGGGCGCTACGGAGCCCAGGAGGGGCGCTACTGGGCCTGGGAGGGGCGTGACGGGGCCCAGGAGGGGCGCTACGGGGCCCAGGGGGGGGCGCGACGAGGCCTGGGAGGGGCGCGACGGGGCCCAGGAGGGGCGCTACGGGGCGCAGGAAGGGGCGCGACGGGGCTAGGGGGGTCGCGACGGGGCTAGGGGCGCGACGGGGCTAGGGGGGTGGCGAGCGGAAGCGGTAGGTGGTGGGGGGATCCTACCTACGCGTGATACCATATCAGAAATTGGAGAAGAGAATTATCACTAGTGAGAGAGTACAGAAAGATATACCTAAGAATTGTACCCTCTAAGAGGTGACCCTGTACAGTCTATACAAACATAACGATTACACATGTTTGACACTGTCAGCACACCTTGCTGCTTGCCTTGCCTGTCATTGATCTGTTGAAGCAATGATGTTATCAGTGGAATTCTGTCACGTTCTTTCCTATACCACCATAAGACCGCCTTAGGAATCTTAGCAATTGACTTGAAAATTCGCCATAACCAATGGTGCATACACGTACAAGTGCATAACCAGATACGTCTATCCATAGAGACTGCCTCTGGCATGCCATTCCGCGAACACTTCCTCCTCTCATAGCTACTCTTTCTTCCCGTACTCCATCCTTAGTCTTCCACCAAACGCCTTATCGCCATCCCTGAACGTCCCCACCATCCGGTCCCACCAAGTGAAATACAGGGACCGGTTATAACGAGGATCCAGGTGGTGAAGAAAGTGCGTGGTGGGCCGCTGAGCCCCAGGAGTGAGCAAGATTCCGAAGGAGAGCGGCACAAAGACCCAGGGGGGGAGATGGTAGGCACAGTGGCCCATGGTGTTGACCATGCCCACTGGTATCAGCGCGAGGGCTAGCTCCAAGGGGCGCCAGGATGGAAGGGAGTGCAAGAGGAGCACGAAGAGCATGTAGAATGCGGACCAGTCCAGGAGAAACTCGAAGGGGTCTGTAACGAGGACAGCAGGAAAGGGGAAAGGGAGGGGAGGTAGAGGGGGGAGAAAGCAGGCATGGATACGAACTGTCGGTTCTGTTCCCACAGCTCCTTGCGCCAAGGGTGGACTGTCTACAGCAAGGGAGCTGTATGCTTCAGTGCTTGGGAAAAAAGTACCGTAGTTATTCAGTGAGAACAGCATACTACCAGCATGGGAGGTGGAGAACAAAGCGAGGACGGTGATCGTGCGGTGGTGCTTGGCGTGCAGCGCGCGATACAACGCCTTGCTCTCGTGCATCAGGCTCAAAGTACACTGCATACCAGCATTAGAGGTGGAGAACACGCCCAGGTCAGTGGTGGTGCGGTGGTGCATGGCGTGCAGCGCGCGGTACAGCGCCTTATCCGCGTGCATGAGCGAGTGAGTCCAGAAGAACCACGTGTCATGCGCCGCCATCACGCCCCACGCCAGCGCCCACGTGGGCAGCACGCGCGGGGGGAACACTAGCTCCGCGCGCGCAACGATCCCCACGCGGTGGAACCCCACAAGGAGGAAGAGCGGGAGGTGCGAGACGAACACCGCGAGGAAGTTCTGGAGGGTGAAGTGGGTGAGGCGGAAGGGCACCCCGGGGATGATCCGGCGCACGCCGAGGGAGGGGAAGCTCTCTAGGAGCCGGAGGAGGTGGTAGAGGAAGGTTTCGGCAACGAACTGCGCGAGAGACGCAGCTAGCGCGCCGAGGATGGCGATGCAGCAGCAAATCAGGAGCTCCGATAGTAGCGCTCCGTTTGAAGCACCAACGGCTTCTGCTGCCATCACGGCGCTTGTAGTACTACTACCAGTAGTAGTAGCGCTCGTCAGAGTGGTATCACCCATGCCTCCAACTGTGCTTCTCACTGCCAGAGGCAGGAACCTTTCGAGTAGCCATCCTACTGTGGTTCTCCCCCCCGGTTCTGGATTTCCTGCGGCAAGGGTGGTGAGGCTTTCCGTGAGGAAGGGGGCATTCGCCTGACCTCGACCGCTGCTACTGGCGGCAGAAATTTCTTGAGCGCTTGAATGATGATATTGCGACTGCCATGGCGCCGCTGCGCCAAGAGAGGTCCAGGACCTGAAGAGGGCTGCCGGGATCCCCGAAACAGCCATGCCGCCACTGCAGGACAGATGGACTAGAAGGACTAAACCGTACTTCGCACTAGTACTACGTAGATCCAGTACTCCCAAGGTGTGTGAGAAGGGGTAGTCGGACTAGTCGGCGGCTACGACCAGGTGTGTAGGCACGGGTCGGGGTTGCGGCGTTTGATACTCAACTGGTGCTGGTAGCAGAACTGCTGAAGAGGGGCTACACTCAGCGACAACCTCTCTCGATCATTATACCCAAAAGAACAGAAGGCGGGAGCGGCACCGGCGAGCGCCACAAGATGCTACTACTGAACACTGTCACGGTGAAGCTCTGGCACGCTCGGAGCGAGCAGCTCGATGACATGGCATACGTTGCCGTGCTGGCTTCCTGTGCTGACTCTCGCCAGGTTGCAGAGATCATAGTGGACGTGTCTGAACGAACCACGACTGCCGCGCGCGGCGGCATTCGATTGTTGACACGCGTTCGGTGGCCCGCTCGCCGGGGGTGACTGCCAGCAATTACTCGCGATTGGCTGTCCTAGGGGCGAGCGAAGCGTTCGCTCGCTTCGAGACTCTATTTACCGGTGGAAACGCGACGCGCCGAGTGTAAAGCAGGGTGGACCAACCACTAGCAACTGTACTAGGTAAGCTAGATTGTGCACAGATGAATAGCCAACCACGAGTTTCGCATCAGGCGCGCTCGAGTATTATAGTCGCGACATCTTGTGGCATGCACACAGCAGTAAGGACTTGCAGAAATGGAACTAGGCGCGTCGGACCTCCACGCCAGGGGCAAAACGACCTCCACACCTCGACCCTACGGACATATACTCAGCAGTAAGGACTTGCAGAAATGGAACTAGGCGCATTGAAAGGCGATGGAGGCGAGTGGTTCTTAACTTGCGTGTGACGCGTGGCGGATGTTGAGCACATGAGCAAGCTGGCCAGAATATTCTGTCACTACTGAGTGCTCCAACCCAATATCCGTGAGCTGACTTCGTGAGTAAGCATGTGTATGTTCATCCCATAAAAGACACCTACCGATGAGCAAACTCCATTAAGAAGGGAACAACCACTAAATATGACATGGAAACACAAGCTAAAAAGAATGAAGCTAGACTAAGCCAATAAGAAACAACCTGCTAGGCGAACTCAAGCCAACAAGAAACAAAAGCTATTGGGCTCACTCAAGAAGCAAGCTGCTAGGCTAACTCGAGCCAACAAGAAACACAAGCTAGGCAACAAGATTTGGGATACAAAAACGCATGTCCCTTAGTGGTCACCCATCCTTCACACGAGCGCAAGCAGTGCAATCAGCGAAAGAACCAGGGCCATGTAGTTTCCACTGAGTGCAAACGAGCCTGCAGCTGCACCATCCCACAATACATGTCCAGAAGATGTTAGAGATGCAGCTGAAACTCCACTCATGTTGTTGACATAACATGGCGCTGTCACAATGCAGTGGGATGCGTTCCATGGAAGGAACATGCCACACTGCGACAACAGGATATCATGCACGCTGTCATCGATATGTGGCTGCCTGTTGCAGACATACTGGAAAAAAACACACTAGGTTTAGGTGGCACTACATAGCAGGTAAGCATACCTTTGCCATACGGTGAGACCGGATCATTGCTGGTGAGGGAGCCCATGTTGGCAGGGAAAACCACTTCAGATACCGAAAGCATGGACATGCCAGAGGATGAAGTCGTCACACCAACAATCGAATTGCTCGTGCCCAGCGTATAAGCACCCTTCACCCTCGACACTACTTTAGGCCCTCCGGCTTCACTCTCACTGCCACTAACAGAGGAACTCCCAGAGGCAGTGGGGCCTAGGTCAGTCCCACTGATGTCATGATCCAAGCCGTCACCAACAGCTTTGCCGTTGCCGTAGAGGAACAGCGGCTGGTTGACCAGCGTGTTCAGGCTGAACTTGCCGATCTTGTACTGCACGGAATGGAAACGGAGTTGATTCAAGGGGGGGCCACGGACAATGGGACGAATGGGCGAGACGATGAAGTTTTAGAAGGAAGAATCGACTGACAACAGGGGGGGCGGAAGACTCACTTTGCCGGCTGACAGTTCCGAGAGAGCGAGGTAGTCGCGGAGCGCCAGGAACTTGGCGAGGCGCGACATGGCGTTCTTGCCGTTGTTGGACATGGAGTTCAGCGACGACACCGACCCCTTCTGATTCACAATCGTGTCGAGCGCCTCGAGAATCGGGTCCGACGCCGTTGTAGCAGTCGGGTTTTTGGCCTTGTACCCCGCAAGTGCACTCGTCCAGCCTTCGTTTAAGGGAAGTACAAGCGCGCCTCCAGAAATGTCTTTCACCTTGTCGTATCCCGCCGCGAACTCCACCATTCCCGCGGATATGTCCGGGATGACGTCCATAAAGGTCTGGTTGCGGATCATAGTCAGCACATAGGAGAGGTCGACCGCGTGCGCGGCGCGCGGGAGAGTCGCCGCCCAGAGCGACGCGGAGAGAGTCACGGCGAAGGTGAGGACGAACGCCGACGAGGGGGACTGACGGCAGGCCATGATGGGTACTACTGCGAGTAGTTCGGGAGTTCTTTCCCGGCGGGCACAGGTGGGAAGAGGCTCGACGATGGTGGTGCGGGTGCTTGCTGATCGGGAAGTTGCAACACTACTACTGCAGCTCTCTCAGTTGGATGTCCCTAAATAGTGAACTGCGATGAGGGCGAGAGGGAGGCGGGAAAGTGCGTCGGGTATCCGTGCAGCAGAACACGGATCGGCTATGTCTGCGCAATGGTTGGAGTTCGGTGGTGCGCCACCGACGACGCTGTCGAAGGACGTGGGGCGAGGTGAGGAGGCTCGAGGCGCCCTGAGAGCGTCCTTTCCCGTGCCGCACGTTTCTCGCATCCGCGTGCGACTCAAACGGATAAGGACTGGGCAGTCCCATGAAAAGTGGCAATTGGGCAGGGGTACCCGATTGGGAGGGGTTCTGATTTTGAACTGGGTGTCGACTGGACGCCCGGGTGTAACGGTGGAGCGTGGGTTCGAGTAGTTGTGACTCTACAACGCGGCTCCCTCAGGCGGATGTCCCTAAATAGTGTCGTGTGAAGTGGGTTGCGAAGTCTTTCCTCAGTGGGGAAAGCAATCGTGCAGAAGATGAGGGTCGAAATTGGCAGGCGAAGCTGAGGGGTCATCTATGTGTAAACGCGTCCTTTCCTCTGTTTGTTTGTAGCGTTCAGTTTCGTCTGTGGCGCTCGGCTACGTCTGCGCTTGTTTGGACTACAAAACAAGATAGGGTGGCCTACGCAGCTTCGCTAAGTCAATGAAGGGCGCGTCGTTGGAGTTCGGCGGTGCGCCTTGACGTCGTGACGACGCTGCTGAAGGACGTGTGGCGAGGCGAGGGGACTCGAGGCGCCTTGAGAGCGTTCGGTGCCGCCCGTTTCTCGCCGCTGTAGTCATGCGCATAATGTGCTGGCCTAACAGTCCGCATCGCGTGGGACTCAAATGGATAAGGATTGCGCTGTTGCCCGTAAATACAGGCAGCTCGGCAGGGGTACCCGATTGGAGGGGTTTTGAGCATGGCGTCGACTGGACACACGCTGTAAAAATCGTCTGAGTGTGTGCGGTCCGAGGGGTTCGAGAGCCACGGTTGGCCATGGTTGTAGCGGACAGCCAAGACCAATGACATCCCAAATCTGTAGTGTCGCGGATTTCGGGTGTCCTCTCTCCTCTCCTCTCCACCCCTCACCACCAGCTGGGCAAAGAAGGTTTCGTCGACGAGGATGCCAAGAGAGCTGACGAAAGGGTTGGCGAAAGTTGACCGGAATCTCCCAGTTTGGCTGGTTACCTCTTTGTAGTATTTGTTGTTATGAATGGAACTTCCGAGTAACGCCGAGGGCAATGGCTAAACTGTGAAAGAGTGAATGACAAAAAAATGAAAGACAATACAATATATAGGAAACCTAGGGCGATCCTGGACGTAAGATTGGAAGGATCGAAGGGCCTCGATGTGTCTAAGCGAGGTCCGGAAAGGCCCAGGAGGCTCGAACTGAAAGGTCTGGAACCCTATCGATGGTTCTGGACTGTTCGAGTCGTACGCCCTGTAGGAAGCCTCAGTAAGGAATTACTCATTCTTTACATTTGTTATGAGTATTTAAAGCGGGCGCACTGAATAACTTCAACCTTCAAAGCTTTTTTAAACTTGAAGAGGGCTGGCAAAAATAGCGAAGGCGCAGCACTCGGTAAAGACCCAGGCACGCCCCAAGCGAAGAATAGGCCTCTCGCGAGCTGTCGCGAGCTGGAAAACTGGGTCGCCAAGTCTGGCACTGTCGCAAGCGTGGGCCCCTGACAACAAGGGCCCGAAATTGGTTTTACGCCACTCTTAGGAATCAGGGTGAAAAAAAAAACACATAAAAATAAACAAAACAAAAAACCAAAATAACAAAAACAAAAAACAAAACCCTGTCAGCCATGGTATTTTTTTTTACCCAGCCTGATTTGCAAGGATAAAAGAAAAACCCCTCGCAGCTTTACTACCCTTCCCTGTCCAGCGTTCCCCTCGAGTTCCCTTACAGGCCTGCACATCCCCTCGTTCTCCCGGAACTTAGTCGGTGTCGCCAGTCTTAAGGACCTCGGCGTCACCACTATGTTCTTGGGTCACCAGCGGTACACCGTCTGTACCGAGGCCGCCTCAGGTTCCCCCCTTGCGACGTTCCCCCGGGACAAGGTGTCTGGCCTCTTTACGCTGGACACTGCTTCCCCCCCAGTGGACACATCCTCCACGGGTCCTGCGTCTACCCAGGTCGCCGTTGCGTGCTCGTGTCGGTTGCTCACTCACCCATCGCTTCTTTGGCACCACCGCCTAGGTCACCCTGCGCTCCCACGTCTGCGTCACATGTCCCAACACGGTTTCGTCCTAGATCTTCCTGCGTCGCTTCCTGCCCTCCCTCCCTCGCATGCGCCGCCGTGCACGCCCTACGTCGAGGGCTGGCTCTGCCGTGCTTCTCACTGCTCCTCGCTTCGTCCTTCCATCGGACCCCTCCAGACCCTGCACCTGGACGTCTGGGGCCTAGCCCCCGTCCTTGGACCGCGGTGTGAGCGCTACTTTCTCGTGCTCGTCGATGACTTCATGCGCTACACCACGGTGTTTCCTCTGGAGCGGAAGGCCGACGTGCCTGGCGTTCTTATCCCGTGGGTCGTAGCTGCGTGCCTCCACCGCGGTCTCCCTGTGCTGTGTCTCCACTCCGAACGTGGTGGCGAGTTCGCCGCTGGCCGGCTTGGACAGCTCTGTCGTGCGGAGGGCATCACCCGGTCGTACACCCTACCGGACTCCCCGCAGCAGAATGGGGTCGCTGAGCGACGCATCGGCTTGGTCATGGAGGTGGCTCGTACCTCCATGATTCATGCCGGTGCAACCCATTTTCTGTGGCCATTCGCCGTTCGCTACGCCGCTCACCAGCTTAACCTCTGGCCACGCTCTAAGCGGCCGCAGGTTTCGCCGACCCTTCTTTGGACCGGGTTCCCTGGTGACGCGTTCACGTTCCACGTCTGGGGCTGCCTCGCTCACGTTCGTGCCTCTAGCATGGACAAGCTCACTGCCCGCACTGTGCCCTGTGTCTTCCTCGGTTTCCCCCTGGACTCCTCTGACTGGCACTTTTACCACCCGCCGTCTCACCGCTTCTTTCATTCCCGTGACGCTACTTTTGACGAGTCTGTCTCCTTTTACCACCGCGTTCCCTACCAAGGTTTCCCGGTTTCCCCTCCTCTGTTTCTCGTCCCCACTCCCCCGGTAGCCCCTGCTCACCTTCCTCTCCGTCCTACTCCGTCTGGTGTGAATCACGTCACTCCCCTCCTATGGGTTGTCCCGGTCGAGGAGTCGGC